GAAAGAGCTACATTCAGACACAGATACTAACACTGAAGTATGTGCAATGAAGTCTGGTATCTTTAAGCAAGTTCAGAGGAACAAAGAAGAGCTCTAAGAACTCATAGAATAGGGTACTTAAGTTTAAATAGTGTTTTGTTACCTCTTTGGGAGCTTCTTTTTCAATGAAGTCATTATAGATTTTTTTTGCTTTCAATGTCAGCTTCTGAGGTGACTTGGTTTTCTTGAAGTCCTCACAGGCCAGCCAGAACTCAATGTTTTCTTCACAGAACTCAGCCTTCAGAAAAGCTCGGAAAGCAGCAAGACCATCTAGGCAAAGAAAAAAAGCCAACCCACACATCAATTAACTTTTGAATTTACCCTCTCCTTATGTCTGTTTCTACCAAAACATTCTGCTGTAGTTCTCGTCTGGCTTTTTCCAGGGATATTACAGCAGTAACAAGAATTCCAGATTTATATATGTAAACAAATTAATGCTCTAACAGCTTGGCAAGCTTCACTTGGAGTTTGTAATTTTTTAGGTAAATGCAAAAAATGAAATCCATTTTTCATCATTTTTGTTGCCTGCATATTGATATATATATTTTAAAAAAACCCAGAACTCTCCAGATGGGCTCTCCTGTGTTAACCTTTCCACAGGAATAAATATTTATGACTGTGCTACAGAACTTTGGGATACTTTCTGCAATGGAAAGTTCTTCTTCAAAGAGAAAATGGTAATATTTATTAGTCTTTTTGCTCTGCTGTTGACTGTTCTTCCTTGCAGAGCTACAGTAAAACCCTGAATCACTGAATTTCTGTGTTGCTGAATCCTTCTCAAGTTAGGTGACTGCATTTGTTTTGGTTAAGTAGTGAGGTCAGTGAACAAACACTTTTCTTCCATTTGCCAAAGCCAGACTGGCAGGTATGTCTTTTAACTCCAAAGGTTACTGAAAAAAATTCCCCTATAATGATGTACTCTTGATGATTTGATATAGGTTTACAGTTTCTTTAAAGAACACTTCTATAAATTTACACTACATTACATTAGAAAGGTACAATGCTGACATGCAAGGAAGCAATTTCTTACAGACATATAAATTTTGCCATTTTTGCCCTTAAATGTTAGTATTTGAAGACAAACTTACATTTATTAGCAAGAAGTTCATCAAAGGCTTCTGACCACAACCGGGCTTCTTCAGGGGAAGGTCTGCATAAAGAGATGGAATATGTTAGACTCTGTTGCTCAAGCTTTATTGCTTTTGTAGAACACCTGAGTTACTGAACCAAAGCCTTTCTCACAACTCACCTGAAGTAGGTGCGCTGTTTCCCCACTTTCTTAGATTTCATTTTAGTAGAATTGGAAGAGTTCTGCAGGAAGTAGCTCAGTCTCGTTTTCCAATCTTTAATGCTGGAAAAACAAACGGGAAGATGCATGTTAAAAAAGCTAACTCAAAAAGCTTTAGACACCAGGCCCTCTGCTAGTAGGTGCCGCAAGTTTTCCTGGCGTCGGTTTGCCAGCTCTGTACCCAGCGAGTCACCCAGAGCACCCGTCTGAGGACAAGATATTCCCCTACAGTTTCTCCCTCGCTTAAAACCACACACTCACATCGTCCGCTTCATCCTGCCCCTC